TAAGGGCCCGATAATGAGACGCATAGCAGAGCGAGACGAGTGAATTGCATTAGGTGGCCAATTTTTTAAAGGAAGGACGGTTCAACCTGGTCAAATCATGGTATGTTGACGTGGCTCCATTCCTCATATGTTCCTCTCTGGTTTTGACGCGTGACGTTCTACGCAGAGCACTCGAAGGGAAATACGACGAACTGATGGTTCCTTTGAAAATTGAATATATGATGCCACTCCTCCTCCTTGACCAATGAAATCGTTCCGCTTCAATGGTAGAACGTACGAGAACGTCAACAGGATGTCGATGGGGTACTCAAGACCTTGTATTACAAGAGCTGGAAAATGTGGACTACAACCAATCCAAACGTGCGTACTGGTGCCGATACGTGCACGACTAGCAGACTTTCGAAACCTCCTTAACAGCATCTTCCGCGATATCCGATTCACAAGGGCGGAAGAGAACGCCAAACAACTGCCTGTCCTTGTCACCCTCATTACGTTCAGGCCCAATGGAGAACTCAGCATCACGTTTTCCAGTCCATAATTTCTCCAAATTCCGCAAAACTCGCTCATCAACAACATCAAACTAAAAGGATTTGCCATTCAACAATAAGGCTTCACTGTACACAGCATAGTAAGCATCTGGGCCGTCAACGATGAGTGCAGGTCTACGCACCCTGACAGTTTTTACATTTTCCGGATTGCTTAGCGAAGACCTATGACCCTGATAGCAAAACGTTAGATTCGCTCCGTGTGTCTGCCTAGCACGCGCTCAAACGTGCGCACCTAACGCGTGTGTCGATGTCACCCCCTCTCATTCATTCATTCGAGGCGCCTTTCCGCATTCGCGGGTGACATCACCATGCCATCCGGGTCTCCTTGCTTGTGTTGTCTCCTTTTCAAACTACACGTCCTGTGTAAAAGCCGCCTTCTGCTTTGTCCCAGAACATCATCAAACATAAAGCAGGTCATGCAGGTCAGGCTTTTGAGTTACTTCATTTAGGCTGCCTGCTAAGATAAGACTCTGCAAATCACCGTCTTTCGAGACCCCTAAGGCGTCTTTCAACCCGATCGAATAGTCTGCCGTTAGGCTTCCTTATGGCCACCACCGGAGCAGCTCACCCTGAATATTTTGGCAGATAATACCATTCTGCTGCAAAAACTACTTTTATTTCACTGCCTCTACTGCAAATAGGATGCGTCGACTCTGCCTAAAGAGCGGATTCTTCCTCACTTTCACCTAAAAAGTTGCTGTAGTTTTTCTGCAGGTTCCTGCTGACATCTGTATCCGCTCGGCATACTTCCTCACCTGTTTCTCGGTATTCTTTACAACCCAGAATATCTCCTGGAATACCCGATTCCATAGTCCCAGGAGGAAGATAGTCTTGTTGCAAATTTGATCGGGTTCAGACTTCTTGTGGTAAATGCCAGCCAAACAGGCCTTGTCGTTGGAAATGCTTATTGCTTGGATAACACCTTTAAAAGTATTTGCTTATTATTTGTCGCCCAGGCACAGACGGTCGTTGGCTTCAGTGCTGACGGTCAAAGGGCTTCCCACATCCACATATTAAGTATCTTTTAGCCTGATGGTGTATCCACCTCTCATTCGGTAGGTTCTCTTTCTACGTTGACCATCAGCTATTTTCTATGTTCCCAAATGAGTACCTGTGACTC